CAACAGATTGGGGTAAAGTTCGAGAATGGATTTATGGAGAATTGATGCAGAATATCTTCATTTGGAGGAAAATTCCAATCTAATGTCGAAATTTGGCGTACCGAAAACTCTCTATTGTTATTAAAGTTTTGTCACGTTACAACTCCACTACCTTATACCAAAATAATTAGTTATTGCAGGATAGCGTAATTATGTTCAAGGAGGCCAGAAAATCCTTCTCGTGAGTCCTGTTTCTGAGAACTGTCCTTCTCGCAAGTCCTCCATAACTTCGATCGAAGTTTTGTTGAGATAAGGCAGTTAAAGAGTTAACGATGCTTCCGTTGCCCATGCCACCAAGCGACCTCGCTATGTCGCCCGCCATCACGAACCAACGTGAAAAGACCCCCCTCACTGGCGGCTTGCTCAGCCGTCATTTCCCAAGTTACCTTTCAGGTACTTCCGACGTTGGTCAGGGCAGTCTTCGGGCCGTCCAGTACAACGACGACGACATCCACGGGGTCATCCTGACCGACAGACGCCATGTCGGCGCCAAGGCCAAGCCCAACGACCACCATGTCGGCGCCGCCACTCTGACCAACCACCACCATGTCGTCACCGTCACCCCGTCCAACGACCACCATGTCGCCGCCGCCACCCTGCTCAGCCACCACCATGTCTGCGCCGCCACCCATCCCAACTTCCACCACGCAATCGTCGCCACGTTGCCCAACGCCCACAAAATCGGCGCCAGCGCCGAGCCCAACGATTACCATGTCGCCACCGCCACCATGCCCAACGACCACCATTTCGGCGCCGCCACTATGCCCAACCACCACCATGTCGCCGCCGTCACTGTGCCCAACGACCACCATGTCCGTAGAGCGACCCATCCCAACGACCAACATGTCTTCACGAACGCCCAGCCCCACGACCACGATGTCGTTGTTGCTACCTGACCCCACCTCTGCCTTTCACATGTATATGCTTTTGTTGCACAGCAAAGCGTGTCGTCGGCGAGGGAAGCTTGCTCATGAGCAACCCGGTGCCCTTGTGTGTGCTGTACGGAAAACTATCGAAACCCGCTTGCGGGTTGCAAAGAGCTTGGAGGTGAAGTGCCTTTGAAAATGATTTTTTAATGTTCCTCATGAATAGTCGCGACGTGTGTCATGTAATGTCAACGATAAGGGCCTCGTTTGGAAATACCATGTTTCCTATCCAAGCGTCAACG